AATGATTGTTATATATTATATTTTATACAGATCTGGTAAATGGAAATCTGAATTTGACTTCCTAAAGTAGTAATATTAAAATATAATTTGCTACAACACAGTACAAACAGTGTCCCCAAACAGATTCCTCTCCTAGGGCTAAATTTTGGTGTAATCTTCTCACTGGTTTATCCAATTATGTTAAAATATATCCACAAATTCTTTGACTCTTTAAGAGGAGGAGACCAATTCATCACTTATGTGAGCTAGACTTAGTGATTTCTAAAAAAGATGATATGGTAGAAATAATAGTGTGCAGCTTTTGAGACCAGGTCACAAATGGCTTCCCTGCTTTTCTTTCTTGCTGTGTACAGTGGGGGAAGAAGCCGTCATGCCATGAAGACTCTCAAGCAGCTCCATGGAGAGAGGCTCATGTGAGAAGAAATTGATGCCATTTGCCAAGAACCTGTGAGAAATCAACTGTGTGAGCCAGCTCTCCGAGAAGTACTGTAGATCTTCTGGTGCAGCCAAGCATTTCTCGTGACAGCAGTCCTGAGTGACACCTTGACTGCAACTTCATCAAAGATACTGAGTCAGGCTACCCAAGTAGGACAATCCTGAATTCCTGCCTTACAGAAACACTGAAATAATAAATGCTCTTTGTTTAAGTTATCATACCGTCTAAAGCACTAGGTTTTGATGTATTTTATTATACAGAGACATGTAACTACTCTGCCCATAGGAGTTACATACAAAGATGTACCAGTGTCAGTGGAAAAAGAACACTGGGAAAAAACCCAGGCCTTCACTAGAACAGTGATAAATATTACGGAACATGATAGAGCAGTTTTAGCATGAAACTTGAGACATAAAATAAAAATGGATTTTAAAAATAATATTGGTTAAAATATTTAAAAGGTATAAATTAAAAACATAGATTTGGGTATAAACATGAAAGAAGGGAAAGTACTCAAACTGTTATTTTTACACCTATGTTCATAGCAACATTATTCATCATAGATAAAAGGTAGAAACAATCCAAGTATCCAATAACAAAGTAATTAATAAAAAATGTGGTACATACATGTAACAGAATATTAGTCTTTAAAAGGAAGGAAATTCAGATGCTAATGACAGGAATGAACCTTTTTTTTTTTTTTGTACCAAGAATTGAACTCAGGACCTTGCACTTGCCAGGCAGGCACTGTGCCACTGAGCTATATCCCTGGCATTTTATGCTAAGTGAAGTAAGATAGTCAGGAAAAAATTACTGTATGATTCTTCTGGGAAGTTCCTACAATAGTCAAAATTCTAGGGATACTGAGTAGTAGGTGCCAGGGGTCTAAGGAAAGAGGAAATTGGAGGGTTAATGTTGTCAGAGTTTCAATTTGGGGAGATGAAATATCCTAGGAATGGATGACACACTGCACAGCAATGTAGATGTACTTAATGCTATATAACTGCATGCTTAAAATGGATATATGATAAAATTTTATGTCATTTTATATTACAACTTAAAATCTCAATAATGGTAGAAAAGAAAAAGAACATACAAAATAATGTAAATAATTCATAGGAATTCATGCCTATTTAAGAACACATTTAGGGGCTGAGAGTATAGCTTGATGTAGTGCTAAAGTGTTTGCCTGGTACTGGCACAGTTCTGGGTTTAAAAACCAGTACAGACAGAAAGGAGGAATGGGGGAGGAGGGAAAGAAGAAGAGGGATAGGGAGAAGGGAGACAAGAGAGTGAAAAAATGACTGTTTTCTACAGAGGATTGGGAGAAGGGTATGGAAAAAAAAAACCAGTTATACTTTCCTTGGTTGTAAGGTTGATTCACAATAACAAAATTTCACCTCAAGGGGGAATTGAATCCAGTGCCTTTGCAGTGAGCAGCATCCTTACACTTCTTTAAACATTTTGAGATAGGATCTCACTAAGTGCTAAATTTCCCAGGCTGGGCTTGAACTTGCCACCTTCTTGCTTCAGCCTCCAGAGTGCTGGGATTACAGGTATGTGTGCCACCATACATAGCTAAAACAACTTTTGAAACCGTACCTAGTATAACATGAAATGTCACCTGTATCTAAACAAGAATGGGTATCTTCCCTTGTAACAACACCTATATTACTACTAGAACTAAAAAGTCAAGAAATTGTTTAATCTAACCAGGTACATTCAAGATGCTTACCATGTCAAAAGTAATTTATTTTTCAAAACTATCTGATTCCATGTACATACTATGAAAAGGCACAGTGTTTCAGAGTAATCTACCACCTTCTTCTAAATTACCACAGGAGATATTTCAGATTGTATAAATCTTTAAAGACTTTAGGAGTAGATACAGCAACTTAACTTGTAATCAAATTTCACATGAATTTCTTAGCAGTTAATTTCCATGTCTTACTTGATTCTTCAGCACCTTTTATAGGTCTGGCAGGTAATAATTCTGGCACTCTAAAGTATGTAGTAAATATATTTCCTCAGGTATTATTTGTTTTTTCTAAATCATAATGCCCTCCCTTCTTTTTGGAGGTGGTATTGGAGATTGAAACCAGGACTTTCCTAGTAAGCTACATTCCTGGTCCTCTCTCCCCCTTTTTTGCAACATATCATTATATATGACTGCACAGTCATATATTTTATACTGTAAGGAGAATGAAATAAACATAATTTAGTTATTTCTTATTTAATGCAGAGAAATATTACAACCTAACATGGAAATATTCAGATGATTAATGCTTTTTTAAAAGTATGCTTATGAATATGCTGCCTATTTGAACTATCAATTATGTTATAAATCATTCTTGGAGCGCTTAACCCATAATCATGAATTTCTTTTTCACTTGAATAATTTGTCAGTGACATATTATTTTTGTTATACATTACCTTGTAATGTTATATGCCAAGAGGCATTATACAATGGTTTTATAAGACTAAAATTAAAAAGAAGACAAGTTCTTTACATCCTTATACAATATATGACCTTGGATAAAGTCATGACATACCTGATTAAAAGTAACATTTAAAATGAGACAGTATGAAAACAATGCTACACTGAACCGATTAAATGGTAAAATGAGAAAATGTGTGTGAAAATAATTATGACCTAACTCTCAACGACTACACTAGTTGGGGTTTAAATAAATATTAGCTATTAAATTTCATTTGGAATTTCAATGTGACATTTTACATTCTAGCTACAGCTTCCATCCGATTTTAAAAAGGAGACCCTAAATATTACAAATCGTAATACCCAAAATGAATTTTAAAGCAAATGTATTTTAAATATTAAAATTATTTTAATCAACAAAAATGTATGTAATATTTATTCAATACCAGTTTCTTATGTTGACAAAATTACTGAAACAAAATTAAGGTCTCACAAGACTTTTTATTACATACACATCATTTAAGAGGCACTGTCACAGATCCTGGAGGGCCTTACAAAGCCACTGCCATTCTGATCTGGAGTGAGGAGGTGTGGCAGGCAGGCTACCATAAGTAAGCACAAAGATAAGGCATTTAAAATTGTAAGGCATTTAAAAATGTTTTATGTAAGGACAGGAAAAAAGTGCAATGAGAAATATCTTCTAATAAGAGGGTACCTTATGCATTAAAAGGAAATACATTTAATAGTTACGGTGCTTTCATTTAAAATATTTTCCTACAGACATTAATGATATCTAAAAGCAATTAAAGAGAAATATTTAATATAGATCTTATATATTATACATATATATTACCTTAATTTTTCATAAAGTAATTTATATTAAAAAGTGACTTGCTCTTGAATGACCTAATTAAGGACATAAAGCTACACCGACAAAGGAAAACGTCCACTGTTTCATACATAATTTATTAAAATTTCCTATATAGGATTTATGTTAAATCAAAGAATTTGAGTATCTCTTTTGTGATGGTGAATCAAAGCTTCTGCTTTGATTCAAAACAGTCAAACATTCATAGCCTGATATTTTTCCTACTTTAAAAAACAGAGTAACTCTCCTAATCAGCCTGCAATTATAAACTATGGCTTCTTGTAAATGACTTCTCCCTCTAGCATTTGCTGCAAGGTTTCTTATTCCTCTGCAGTTGTCTTTTCAGTCTAAGAGAGGGAGAAAAGGCGCTGCTGCAATCATCTGCAAAAAGCCAGTATCACTGCATTTTGTAACTAACAAAGACACTGGTATCTTTTTGCAACCCTTTTACAGGGAGTTCATTTAGATGTTGTACAAAAGCAAGCACCTTACTAGTGACCAGTATTTCACCAGTCAACCAAGAACATCACTCAACTCTGCAGTACCTGCCTTCTAATTTTCTTGTCACCAGTAGTCCTTTCTACCAGATTCCACATTAGATAACTGCTGTAGCTGCAGCAGCTTTGTATCCCTTCTCTTCTGGCTACCACCGCAAGTGTCCTTGTGGCCAGGGAGGAAAAGAAGCCTTTCAACGGGTTCGACTAGAGCTTTTGCTCTTCGCCATGAATATGCTCCATTCTTTGTTGTCTGCTCCCCGTTTCCTTAGATACTGTTATTCCACTCTACTCTGTCAACAGGCATTATAAAAACAAAACATCCCTTTCTAAGATTCAAAAACAAGCTTTCTCACCAGACTCCTCTTACTAACCCCCTTCCCCGCCACTCTTCTGTCAAAATCCCTGATCAGAGGCACAGGAAATCCATCTCCTGTGCTGCAGTAGGGGGTGGGGAAGAAGAGGGGGACGACGCCCCTGCCTCTCCCTTGGCTTGTGGCAGTGGATCCCATGCCAAGCAAAGGCCACCGGCTCAAGACAATCCAAGGGAAAATTGCTTCCTCCCTCCCCCTCGCAGCAGCAAGCCTGGCCACCGCAGCTTCAGCACCTACCCCATTTCCGAGCCCGGCAGCACCTCCATTCCGTCTCCAGTGACACCCCAACGGGCTGCGCCAATACAGCCACATGTCGGTCACGTGTGCCACCACCCAACCAATCAGCTGCCTTCCGATGGGAAACGGGAGCGCCCTGGTCCGCATCCAGCGGATTACACTGCTGCTTCACACTCAGCTCCCAACCAACACTTTGCAGCAGGGCACGGACCTGCCCGGCGCCAAGAGGCTCTGGGCTCTAGCCTAGCGCACAGCCTCAGAGGTGTGCGCTCACGGGCCCTCCTCCTGACAATCCAGGAAGCTAAGGATGGCTGACAGGCGAACACGGTGAGGTGGGGGAGGTCCACAGGGCAGTAAAATTAGCCTGAGACGCTGGAGGTGGGAAGGGAAATAATAAATTACATCAAATTCGCCGTGATACACAGGCTTGCCGCAAAGAAAACCAGAATTCTATTAAGTGTACTACAACGAATAGGTATTCATTACAAACAACGCACTTAGTAGGTAAATCACTTCATTTACGTTTGAATTTAAAATACAGTTACCAGAAAAAGCTGCAGTGGTAGCTCAGGATAGTGGACAAGACCAGAACCTAGGCGTTACACTGACCCGTATTAAACTCTTACTGCACCTGCTATGTGTGTAACTTTAGTTAGTTAACCTCTCAGTGCTTCAAAGTCCTCCTCTATAAAACGGAAACAGAAGTACACAATAAAGGAGTTAATACATGTATTTATGTTCGTAACAGTAAGTGCTTTAGGTACTATAAGTTGAGTATAAATGGAGTATTCCAATACGAATTTACATTTCATTTAAATTAACTACACGAAGCTTTAAATTTTATTGTTTGACTTACTTTCTGGCTTAAGTAGGGGGGTTCCATTATCTAAAATTTAAAAGGACACTAAATTTCAGGCTTAAAAAAATTTTTTTTTTTAGTACTGAGTGTTGAAACTCATTACCTTGTGCTTGCCAAGCAGGCGCTTGTGCCACTGAGCTAAACCACTAGCCCTGATTTCAGGTTTTAAATAAAGTACATTTGCCATAATTTTTCATTTAAAAAACAGTATGAGAGAAAGCTACTAAATAGCATATTAAAGGCAATCATACTTTATAATATATTAGAAAAAGAATGAACACAAAATATTCACAGAAGTTATTCACTAACAGTGGGATATGGGATGATTTTTGTTTTTCTTCTAAAGTTCTGGGTTTTTATTTAGTCTTTGTGTGCTAATGCCTGATATATATCTAAAACGTCTTACATATTTGTTGAATGAACAAATCAGCGACTTTCACACCAACCATAAACAACTCTATTCACAACTGTATATTAAAAGTTTAAATATACTCGGAAAAATTTCTCTTCATATTTGAAAGAAACATGTGAAGCCATTTTATTTAACACTATCTCTTTTATGAAAATAACAGTTTTAAGGCTTTTAAGATTCTGTTATTGAAACTGCATGACTCACTGCCCAGGACTTAGATAGTCATCATCTATGACAAATTTCTGACATGGCCTAAAACTTCCAGAAAGAAAAGGAATCTTTCAAAATAAAGAAAAAAGTGCCCTCAAATAACTTTTTAGTACCCTAAGAAACAATTAAATCGATGTGCTGCTCTTGACTCACTTTGAGTCAAGGCTACATCATTATTTAGTAAACCAGTTTGCAGTCAAAATGTCTTAATCTTTTTAGTGCATGATTTTATGTATTATAGAAATCAGTCAGTGATTCAATTGACAAAATTTTATTCTAAAATATTTTATGTGGTGCTGCAGATGTAAATTTAAGATTCAAAGGTTCTCAACATTACCTATATTAAACAATTTTTTTAAAAAACCCTCAATGATTATTAACATTGTAATGACATTTTGGGTACATTTACCACATGATTAAAATTGTTGTAGAAGGCAGCTATATGGCAATTACATATAATTCATGTGATATATGTATTATACTGTACATTTTATCTATGATACCAACTAACCTTTTTTTTTTGGAGTGCTGAGGACTGACCAAAGGAGCTCATGCATGCCAAGTATATGCTAAGCCCAGAGCCTCCTTGTTTTATTATTTGTTTGTTTGCTTGTTTTTGAGAAAGGATCTTGCTCTATGGTTCACACAGGCCTTAACTCTTGGCAATCCTCCTGCCTCAGCCAACACTCTGAAATTAAAGGTGCATACTGCTAACTTGCCTCGCTCTCCTTATTTGTTTAAAAAAAATACACACACACACACACATATATACGAAAAGAGATAAAAATATGAACTGTTTATCCCTGGTGTATAATGATATAAACTATTTTTCTGAATTCTATAAAATTCCCACTGCTAACACACATAATTTGTATTTTTTTTTCAAAAGTTAGGTAACTTTAGGTTGGACACAAAGATACAACATTTGAAGGAGAGAGAGATTAATGTTTATTTTGTAAGGCGGCAAAAGGTAGCGTATTAAGTAGAGATCAGAAGTATATACTGAATAAGTGGGAGTGTGTTTCTTTGCTTCTACTGTCTTACCTTTTTGGCTTCTTATTTCTTATGCCTGAAAACTACCTTTCCTTCATCCTCTCAATTTCTATTCTGAAATAATCATATGACTATTACTACCTTTCTTTCATCCTCTCAATTTCTATTCTGAAATAATCATATGACTATTCCTTTATATCTTTCAGGTTTTGGTATAAATATCACATTGCAAAGACACAGTGCTTCCAGCTCTCCACCTGGATCATCATCAAACTTTCTATCATCATGGTATTTTGTTGACAAACCATTTGAAATCCACAAAGTTTTACATGCATCTCTATATTTGTCTTTCTCTAATTGTTTCCCAAACTAAAATATAAATTTCCTGATGATAAGAACCTGGATTCTCTTGCACAGTTGTTCTCTTGAGTCTGTAACAGTGCTCAACACTCTGTTCAATGTATTAATGTAAATAGGATGAATAGAACCTCAATTTATAAACAGATGGGGACTAAGATGGGTACAACAAGTTTTAATATAAGACAATGTGTTGTTAAAATCTAACGAGGTCAGATCATTCCTATCTAAGTAATCAAGGAAAGAGTTCATCACAGAGACAATAGCAACTGAACTAGCTTTGAGGGATGTTTAGAAATTTTTCAGTGATTCTGATCTGGTCTGTTAGGTTAAAAAATTTAGGTAATGAGAGAACGCAAGTGTTTTAAGTAAGGAGCTATACATGGTTAGAGCAAGTTCTACAAAAACTAACAGGACTGTTTAAGAAAGAACTAGTTCTTACTTAAAGGATAATCAGAAGGTATATTCGTATTATTTCTAATTTATAGTATATGTAATGGCCAAAAGTGTTTTCAACTGGAAAACATGCTTGCATAAAAAATCCTAAATGATATACTCTATAAAGTATTTGATTTGATTTGGTGTCATTTGGAAATTTTGACAGTACACTTGTTTATTAATTCTATATGGTTAGGAAAACAAAAACCAAAACCGCTTTTGGAAATGACTTTACTCAAGTAATGAAATATTCAAATACATGTATATAAACAAAGACATTTCCCCACCTAATTTTTTTTTGAGACAGGATTTCATTGTGCAGTTCAGGCTGGCCTTAAACTCATTTACATGGCACAGGATGGCCTCAAACTTGTGATCCTCCTGCTTCAGCCTTCCAAGTGTGGGGATTTTACAGGTGTGTGCTACCATACCTGGTTCCCCCTAAAATTTTAATGTATCTTAATCTTTTTTTTTTAACTTTTTATTGATACCAGGGATCGAACTCACGACCACCTTGCTTGCAAGTCAGGTGCTTATGCTGCTGAGCTAAATCCCCAGCCCCAATATATCCTAATCTGATATAGCTCTTGTTTCAGGAGATGAAGTATTTTATACTTTCTTTAGGTGAATTTTTTTTCCTAATTAATGTTTTAAATTAAAGGTTTAAAAGCAAAGTTTTATGTTTGCCTATGGCTTTTCCTCCCTCCTTTTCCTTCTTCTTTTTTTTTTTTTTTTTTTTTTTTTTTTGGTACTGGGGACTGAACTCACGACCTCGAGCTTGCCAAGCAGGCACTTACACTGCTAAGCTAAACTCTTGGCCCTCTCTTTCTTTCTGAGATAGGGTCTCATTATTAGTTCAGGTCGGTCTTGAACTCACTATGTAGCCCAGATTGGCCTTGAACTCAAAGCCTCATCCTTGAGAACTAGCATTATAAGTGTATGGTTCCACACCCAGGCTTTAGCTCAGTATTTTAAATCTGAAACAGTTACAGAATTGCTCCCAAAGCTACAATTCTACAATACAAATCTATAAACTGTGTTCATAAAGGAACTGGTAACTTCTGACAGTCACCAAAGCAACATCAAATGTTTACGGTACATTCTGAATTTAAGAGAAGCAGACAGAAGCAGTGTTCTTTTTTTTTTTTTTTTTTTTTTTTTTTTTTGGTACTGGGGATTGAACTCACAACCTTGCACTTGCCAGGTAGGCGCTTATGCTGCTGAGCTAAATCCCCAGCCCAGAAGCAGTGTTCTTAAAGAAAGCTTTTCTCCAAGCTAGTGCCCTTCCTAGCACTCTGGAGGCTGAGGCAAGTGGATTACAAGTTGAAGCCCAATCTCACACCAGAAAGAATGACTGTTAACAAGTTAACCAATAACAAATGCTGGCAGGGATGTGGGGAAAAAGGAACCCTTCTCCAATGCTGGTGGGAGTGTAGACTGATACAACCTCTGTAGAAATCAGTGTGGAGATTCCTCAAACACCTAAAACTAGAGGTTCCACTTGACCCAGCTATTCCCCTTCTTAGTATGTTTCAGAAGGAATTTAAAAGCATCATACCACAGTGATATATGCACACCCATGTTTATAGTGGCACAATTTGTAATAGCCAAATCTTGGAAACAGCTCAAATGCCCATCAACTGATGAAAGGATAAAGATATGGGTTTTTAAAATATGCAATGGAGTGTTACTGTGCCATAAAGAAGGATAAGCTCAAGACATTTCTAGCTACAGGATGCACCTTGAGACTATATTCTTATGTGAAATAAATCAGACACATGTGTTTAAATGCTGAATTGTTTCTCTGGTGTGAGAAACCAAAAATGAAAATAAAGGACCAAAATAGATGATATTGTGAAATGGGAAGAAAACATTCATATGGGAAGAGGAAAAAGGAAGAAAGGGACAAGAGAAAAATAGAAGGAAAAAAATGCAAACTAAGTTTTTGTAACTAAGGAAGGGGAGAAGCGTTGAAGCAAAGGGAAGCGAATGAGAAAAAAAGAAGCACAATGTATCATGTACAGGTACAAATTCCCTATGATGAGTCTTATCATTGTGTATATCTAAAATGCACCAATTTAAAAAATTAAAATATTGAACCAAAAAATCCCCAAAACAACAGTAACAAAAAAAAGAAAGTTCAAGCCCAGCCTAGACATTTTAGCAAAACTGTTTCAAAGATATAACACGTATATGTGCTAGTTCCTCATTATATTATGTATCATAAACATGTATTAATACATTTAAAGTCAACAAATAGGAGAAACCGTGTGAAGGAAAAGGAAGGGAAGGGTAGGTTTATGGGACCTAACTGTTCAGTTTTTCTGTAAAGCATTTTTTAAAAAAGCAGTGAAAAAAAGAAAGAAAAAGTGTGGAAATGTAGCTCTGTGTGAAGGCTCTGTGTTTAATCTCCAGTACTATGCAAAAAGAAAAAACAAAAACAACTTTTTTCCAGGGAAAAAGAGGATTAAAAATTACCATTACTTTAACATTTACAATATCATAAAACACCTAGATTATTTGATGAATCATTTGTTAGTTTAAAACACACAAGTTGGTCCTTGAAATACATCAGAACTGATAATGGAGGACCTAATTTTAATTGATGTTAAAACCAAAACTTGGTATACATAAAACAATAAGGCCTTATAATAGTGCTTTAACCAAATTCTTAGTCAGAAGATTTATTTTTAATACTAATATCTTCAAGCTTTTACTTTGAGAAAGTAAATACTTTTCCAACACCCTTTATAACAATACAACTGCAGTTAACACTGCCTAACAACATACTATTTTCTTTGTTTAAATATCTTCCTTTCTTCTTCATGTTGAATTTTAAAGACAAAAGCCAACATAGAAAACATAAAATTATTTCATTTTTGGATAGAGAGAGGATAAAGTGTCTACAATTATAAGCTAAATAATCCAAACTTAAAATGAAAAAAATTGTACCCATTATTACTGTTCTTTGTCAGTGAAGTCAGAAAATTCTGGGTTACTTGGACTACCCGTAATAATACTTAATATATAGATTCATTTGGAACACTGGAGAATGAGTCACTTAATAAATATTAATTTCTTCTTTCAATATAGATCATTATTATACCAATTATTTTGTTAATAAGGATTGAACCCAGGGCCTCTACAATGCTACTCATGAGGTCTACCATTGAGTTACACTCCTAGACCAGACAAATGTTTTTAAAATTGAAACTTTATTATTTATTTTATAGGTCTTTTAAAATATTCTCTGCCAAGTACTCCAAGATTGCACAGAATTATTTGAAATATCACATAGAAGCAAAAGATTTAAAACTGGACTAAATTCTAATTTACATTCAAATACCTTTCCTCACACCAACTATCAATAAGCATCCTGATCCCAAACCATCCTGTACCCCATATAATAAAGGCTTTTCTTCATCTTTTCCACAGAAGCTCTACTTAATTCAAACAATAGTTAACCCTAACCCCTCCTTTTCAAACTCCCAAAACTCTTACTTACTCTGTTTATTACATTTACCTGATAAAACATTAACCCTAGTTGCACTGAACTATTCCACTTTTGCCAGCCTATAACACAACTTATTATATAAGGGAAGAGGGGTGTTCAGGTAACAGGCTGGCTGTTGCACTTTAAATTTACAACTATAGGCACAAAGAAATATTCAATGCTGCCTAGCAGGACTATTCTATTTCCTAGAAAGTTTGCCTTCCTATATTCTAAGTTCTTTTTGCTTTTATTGTCTCCTCAAACTTTTAACAGGCCTATTTTACTATGTCCCTCTTCATTAAAGTCTTATTTTACTGTGAACATAAAAGACATTGGAAAGAAATTCCCTCCTATTTCTCTTACTGGACCTAAAAACTTCTTTCTTCTTACACTTTTTTTTTTTTTTAATTGGTACCGGGATCGAACCGCCTGCCTGCAAGGCAGGTGCTTATGCCGCTGAGCTAAATCCCCAGCCCCCTAAACTTCTTTCTTCTAAAGTTCCATTTTTCCTATCAGAGGCCACTATATAACTCCACTTGTGTTGTGGATTTCAACTACATACTATATTACTTTTTAAATCAAGTATCATTAGCCTGTCTCTCTCTTTTTCTACTGGATAATTCTCATGAACACACATGCTCTAGTATCACTTATTCTTATGAATTCTTTTTCTTTAACCTACTCATCAGATATTGATTCCATTTCTCTGCTTTAATTTCACACCAAATTTTCTGAGCTAGTGACTTCCATTTACTGTCTTGAGTTTCTCCTCTCTAATTCACTGTTAGCCCCACTCTAATCCTAAACAGTTTCTTGAAGTTCAATTGTCAAAGATACCAGTGAGGCCAAATTCCACTATTCTCATCTTAATATATTTGATAATGCTGATTATTCTCTTGTTCCTTAAATACACTTCTTCCATGAGATATCCTCCTTCTTCTAGCTTCATTTAACAACTCTGCTTCTTCATTAGTCTACTAAAAATGGAATGCCTCACAGCTTGTTCTAGCTGCCCTCTCTTCATTGTTTTCTAAGCTTATTCTAGGACTTTAAGTACCAATCATATGACACCAATCTCAGATTTATATCTCCATTCTAATCCTCTGAATATTCAGG